TTAATAAGTATAAAACTATTTGGTCACTGTTTGTCAAAATAAATACTACTGTTCCTTCGTTGGCTCTAGTTAAACGACTATTTAACACAGCGGGACAAATACAAACACCAAGGCGAAATTGAATAAGTGATATAATGTTTGAACGACTGCTGCTGCTAAAAACAAAGGTGAATGACTGAATGATATTTAAGTATACATGTAGTAGAAATGACTAATAACTACTTTTGAGCAATAAGAATGCGTAAAAATAAATTTTGAAAATGGTGTATTTTTTAGTAGTAATTTTTAAAAGTCGTAAAGTATTTTGTATTTAGTATTTAAAAAACATTTTCAAAAGTATTTGTATTTTAAATACTTTTATAAAGTATTTTACCCAGTACATGAAATAGGTATCTGCGATCAAGATATAGTTGTAGGTGAAAGTGTCACCGAAAAAGGAAAAAAATATATAACTCATTTACAAAAGAAATATTACTCTCTAACTCAATCTGTAGCACTTGAATTATTTACGTTTTTTGCACTATCGGTTGAACACGATGAAATTCAGCACCCTTTAAATGTTAATTACGCGAAAACTTCTTAACAGATTTTTGTAATTAATTGAATTATTTATACATTACTAATTGAATTATTTATACATTACTAATTGAATTATTTATACATTACTAGTAAAACTTTGAATCTATATTTATATATAAAAGAATGCTTTAAAAAACGCCTTTTGTCATTTGTTAAAAAGCATGAAATGTCCTCAATATTTTGGCCTGATTTGACTACAATTCACTACTCTAAGAAATCTCTAGAATGGTATGAACAAAATGGCGTCGAATTTGTTCTTAAGGAAGTAAATCCTTCAAATTGTCCTGAGCCGCTGCTCAGGATAATTTGGAGAATTTGCTTCATCTGCTGGATCTTGCTTTGAGTTACTTTTTTTGAGACGGCTATCCATTTTTTTCTTAAAATCTTTTTTATTTGTAGCTAATTTCTTATTTTTCAATAAGATTCCTTTCATAATTGACCAATAACTTTCAATAACTAGCAAATACTTTTACTATCTATGATAGGAAAAGTATTTGCTAGTTAAATTTTCTGTTAAGTATTTGATGCATTTAAATTTTCTCACAAGATCTCATTGCAACTGACATGGATTTGCTTATATGGAGCGAATGATTGATTATGCTTTATATTTATCTTTAACTCCATTCTTTTTTCCACTTCCAGCTTCTCTTTCAATAGATTGATTCTGTTTATATTGCTGCAAAATAAATCCAACTGATGATAGAGAAACACTGGTCAATTTTGAAATGTCAACTTGTGACAATGAAGGATTTTGAGGAAAATTTTCTTATTTTTTTTTTCGATTTAATATTTGTTAATACTTATTTTAATCCGATAGCTATGATAAGCAATACTTATTACCATTACAATCAAACAACAACACATTAGCTTCTGTGTGCAATAAATTAAAAAAATATGACAAGTAATTTTTGATTAAATATCGATTAAAAGGTGCTGAATTTCATCATGTTCAACCGATATTATTTCTTTATCTGTATATAAACGTGCTATATTTAAATAAAAGAACTAAAATATAATAAAAATAAATAAATGTTCAAATATACCGATTATAACTTAATTGATTATTAAATTTATCATCTCAAAGCGCCTGTGTTGTCAATTTAATTTATTTTATAAAACAACTTTTGTCCGTACACAAGGCATTACCTGTTGCACTATCTGTAAACAAGATAATATTAACATAAAATTATAAACTTCTATTTTATAAAAGCATAGTTACTTGCAATAGTATAATAAATCATTAAAATGCATAATTATCATTTTACATTATTTATCTTAATCCAAGCATATGCGCAGCGAAACGGAAAAAATCTAATGCAATTAGATGAAAAATTAACCATGCCAAAAAAACCATAGGTTCACCCTAAACCAGGGCCAAATCCAATAAAACTTTTACAATATTGTGAACTTTGGAAACTATGGTTATTAACAATGCCTTTAGTTTCAATTGTCTGGTATAGTTCTTGGTGTTATGTGCATTTTTTTGTAAAAGATATTAAAAGTATTTTTTATAAAGTTTTTGTTTATTCTTAGATGATGTACTAAGTCGGAAATAAAAAGGGAGATTACTGAAATTAATATTAAGAGATTCAGAAATTATTTAATTAAAGTAAACTGGAAACAACTACATATTTGCAAAGATACTAAGAAAGTCTATGAATTTTTTACAACAAGTTCTTTAATGCGTACGACAAAGCGTTTCCGATAAAGGAAATAAAAATCAAGCTTAAAAGTCTACAAAGCCCATGAATTACGCTTTCGTAATCTATGGACTTTGTGTCTTTGCGATATATATATATATATATATATATATATATACATATATATATATATATATATATATATATATATATATATATATATATATATTCGTAATCTATGGACTTTGTGTCTTTGCGATATATATATATATATATATATATATATACATATATATATATATATATATATATATATATATATATATATATATATATATATATATATATATATATATATATATATATATATATATATATATATATATATATATACATACATATATATATATATACATATATATATATATATATATATATATATATATATATATATATATATATATATATATATATATATATATATATATATATATATATATATATATATATATATATATATACATACATATATATATATATACATATATATATATATATATATATATATATATATATATATATATATATATATATATATATATATATATATATATATATATATGTTTATATATATATATATATATATATATATATATGTATATATATATATATATATATATATATATATATATATATATACATATATATATATATATATATATATATATATATATATATATATATATATATATATATATATATATATATATATGTATATATATATATATACATATATATATATACATATATATATATATATATATATATATATATATATATATATATATATATATATATATATATATATATATATATATATATATATATATATATATATATATATATATATATATATATATACAGTATGTGCCAAAATTGTCACCATGTTTGAACAAAGAAATATTTAATATTTATTTTAATAGAAAAGCTGTGATAAAAATGAAATTTAAGTTTTATTAATTAAATTTAACACTTAATTACCTGAAAATATTGCTTTTCATTTAATTTAGAGGATATTGAATTTATTTTAAATTTTTATGTGAAAAGCTAATGGTGACAATTTTGTCGCAAATGAAAGCAAATAACGTATTGTAGTAAATTAATATGGAGCGTATCCTCCCTTAGATTTAATTATAGCTTGAATTCTTTCAAGAACACTAACAACCTATTTGCGGCATTCCTCGGGTGCAGGTGAGTACCAAACCTCTTGTACACGAGCCCAAAGTTCAACCTTATTCTTAATAATTTAAATGAGCTTGGCGGTGACAAGAAACTAACAATGGCTTCTTGATCTTCCTTCTAGATCGAAAAACAGTTTGTTTGATCTCTCTATTGACTGTCCGCACTGAACCACGAGTCCCATAGCTGTTATTCATCAAATTAGTAACATCTTTTGCAGTTTTAGACTCTCCAGGAGCAATTAAACGAGCAATTATTCTTTGGTCTCTTGGTGTAAAAATTTTCTCTCGACCACTTTTAGGCTTATTTACTTCTAAATTATTACGCAATTTGATTTTATATATAAGATTATGAGAATTTCCGAACTCAGCAGCTCTTTCACGATAAGATCGTCCATATTTAAGCCTTTCCACAATATTTTTTTCTTGTTTAAGATTTATTTTCCTCATGATGATAATAACAATACATTTTTTATGTTTTGTAAACTAAATCAAACTTTAAATGATATTTAATCGATAAAAATCTGTGAAAAGTTAATAACTCAACCATTTTAGTCATAAGGTTGTTAATTTATGTCGTATGCCTAATTAATAGCATTTAGGAAGTTTATGTAGGTTAAGTATTTGGCTTGGAATATTTAACTAAAAACGACAGGTTTAATGCAGTGTTTTTTTGTGTCTCGTAAGTAACAACATATAATCGACTATAATTCCTAAACTTATATGAATTGAACGAAATTTCAATATACAGGATAACTAATGATGATAATTTAAAAAAAAGGAATTATAATTAAAAAAAAAAAAAAAAATGAATTTCTTTTTTTTTGGACAGTTAAAGTAAAGTATATTTATTATCAAGATTGTATTTTTTAAAGATTACACTCAATGAAAATTAATAACATACTGTCATAAATTTTTCTTTGAATAAATACTATAATATAAATAATTATACCAAAGACTCAATCTTTACATTCAAAATAAAATATTCATTTTTATCACATCTTTCCAGGAATGATTACTTCATAAATGAAAAATAATCTTTAATTTTCTTATTATTTATAAAAAATAGTCTTAATCTTTGTAAAAACTAATCAAGACTTGTAATTGCTTTAATATCAATACTGTTCATCTTATTCTATGCGTTGAATCCTCTAATAATTATTAAGAATTTTGTTAAATCATATATAGTTTTGGGTCGAATATAGTTGTTACTTGAATATTTGGTGAGGTATTTGTACTGTCTTTTATTAAATTATGGTTTAAAAATTGTTAATATTGTATTTTTATTAATTTCATACATAAAATTTTTATTTTTAAGTTGAAAGTATTTTGTAAAAGTTTTAAATCATTAATTATTCATATAGGTACGTGTAAGAAATAAGATTTCAAGCGTATGTTTTAAACGCGAAGCGTTAGAAAGGAAGTTTCTCTATGACTTATTAATTATTTACGAGAAACTCTTTTGTATTCCTACCACTACCTCGACATAACGCTTGTATGCTTAAACTCTCTAAAAACTATTATTTTACTAAGAACAAATAAGTGTCTTATGCACCAGTTGGATAATTCTTCAATGGCTATAAAATAGTTACAATAACAATATCAACAACTTCTTCAACGTTTATAATAATTACAACATTTTTCTTTAACGACTAATTACAATATTTTTCTTTATAATTTTCTTTACTAAATATATATATTTTTCAAATCATTTAAAAGTAACAAAAATAAAACTTAAAAATAATGACTATGATAAATTGAAAAAGAAAAAAAAAAAAAAATTAAAAAACAGAAACTACAAATAATATAGTTTTAGAAAAAAATGTAAAACATACTGAAAATTATAAGAAAATAACTAGAAAATAGTATCTATAATATACTTAATAATGGCTTAAAAATGTTACGCGTGAGAAGCAATTATTTTCCAAAAAAGGTAAATATGCTTTAGTAAAAAGTCATCACTTATAGGCTCTAAAGACGTTATTATCGTTATTTCTTGTTTATCTTTATACAACTGCAGAGCTTCAACTAACCTAAAAAAAATTTAAAACGATAAAATAAAAATGCAAATTAATAATAAAACACAACTAAACCCAAATTTTAAGGAGGAGGGGTCTTGGTGAAAAAAAGTTTTTGGATCCATAAAGTATTGCAAGCGGTTCAATTTTTTATTTATCTAGTAAGTATTTTACTTGTTTTACTAATTTAATTAAGATTCGTTTTAGGTTAAGATTAATTTAAGATTACTTATAAATGTCTTTACCTTGATCATATGACAAGCAGTTCATATTACTCATGCAAAGTCTTAGGTCTCTGAACGCCTTAGTCTAGGCTTTTATATAATATGATCTTTACAAACACTTAGAAATAAATTACAATATGTTTATTTGTAAGCTATATATGTTGATGTTCTGCTTAAATAAGACATTTTTCTAAAACTTTTTTAAGCTTCAACATAACAACTGTTGAAATATTTAATGTAATATAAAAAGAATTCAATGAGCAGTTTCTTGTGACGTACATTGAGCCATTTAGAATGCATCTACATATAGTCTTATTACCCATCAAATTTTATGGCGTCAGGGGATAGATTTCTGACATTGAAATTGAGTCTTGATCACTCTGATCGGCGCGCTACAAAGTGGTACGATTTAGATTGTTTGGTTTTGACACTTTCAGACGTTGTGCAAACTCTAAATTTAAGTATTTTTATGATTACGTTAAATGATAATGTTTTGCAAAGAAAAGTACGGTGGTTTTTATTTGCACTAAATATAAAATCATAGAAAGATTTTAAATTTCATCGATTAATATTTTAGATTTCTGAAGTACCATGTAAAGTCTTCACCCTCCTTTAAATGAGGGGGCTGTAAATCTTATATGTTTATAAGATTATTCCATAAAATCTAAATGAAGTAAATTTAGTATAGTAGTAAAATTTAGTAAAATAGTAACAAAAATAAGTTCAAACAAGTTACAAAAAAGTTTAACTTATTTGCAAAAAAGCGATTCCTCATGCTTTTTGCTTCGCAGCAAGCAGATCACGGGACCCGAATTGCACGGGTCTTCTCATTAAATTCTGGTTATGTTTTTTTCTAATAATTTTAGGTGTGAAGAATTATGCAAAGTTTTTATATCTGCTTACCAGTGCTTTTTCAGAAAGCAATTAACCAACAGATTTGCTTAATAAAATGGTTGGTTGTCTCCTTGAAGTAGATCTCCAGAGCCTTAGGATTTATATCTTTCATACAGGAGACAAAATGTTAGCTAGTTCCTCGTCAATATTCAATACTTAAGCAGAAATAGGAAAATACTGAAAACATCTTATCTATAAATATTTTATAGCTCATTTATTATTTAACATAAATTACAAAAATTACAGTTTAATTCTAAAAACATACCCTGAAAAAATATCTTTACCATTATTAGATATTCCAGATCCACCAGATCTACAAACATTCACTAACAAACCAATCTCCTATTTCAATCTACACTGAACCAGTTTTTTTTCCTTCATCTTCAGTTTATTTCCTTCTCCCCTAACCTACCATTTCTCAAACCCAGTTCTGTATGAGATGTGTAGAAGGCACTCCATATGTCTAATCCATCCATGAAGAGTAGATATTCCATAGAAAAAGCAAGATTCACTAAGTGTGTGCTTTTCTCATAAATAGCAAAAACTACTGTTGGTACTTGGCTATCCACATGGTTATTACTAGGTGACGTTCAATAAAAGATAATCTTCATTTTTCTGTTTGTAAATAGGTTGTCTAGTACTGCCACCAACCTATCCCTATGACAGGGATGAAGAAGCGAAGGAAGTATGAATTGAATTATTGCTGGATCCTCTTTCCTTGGCAAAATCGTACAAACTGCAAATTGTAAAAAAATTGCGCAAAAAGTGTGATATGTGAAATATTTATCTTATTGCATATGTAGTTTTTTAAAAGCATTTTTTGTAAACTTGTTAGTCAACCCTGTTAGGCTTTTATTTGGGTTTTCATCTCCATGTTGTCCATGTTGTCTAGTGTGGACAGGTCTGACATTATACCCTCCGAGTTTTAATATTCTCGGTATAGGGTTAATTCATTAAAGTTACTAGGATACCTGAGTAGTATAAGGTGTGTGTTTTTTATGCTTTTTTAAAAAACCCATCTTGTATGTTCCTCTAGAGCTTTCCTAACAGAGAAATCTAGTGGAACATTTATGTCCACAATATTAGTACCCATAAGAATATGATGAAATTTATGTTAAAATACTTGTTCATATAATAACATTAATAATATATTCTAATAAAAAGACAATTTTTTAAATTTTTGTTAAAATCATTTATTTTATGAAATACATTCGACTATATCATAGCCATCAGTTAAAATATGTTAAAATGATTAAATTAAATTAGTAAAATTAAGTTGAACTAATAGAGACCTTATAATAAAAAATACAATAGAAATGCAATTACAAAATGTAACAAATGTATAAAAAAGATAAAAGAACATGTAATGTTAAAAAAGGAACTAAATTGAAATTGTCATTTTTACATGGTTCTTGTGTAATGTCATTTTGACATTATCGGCTCTTTTATCTTTTTTAAAACATTTGTTACATTTTTTAATTGCATTTCTATTGTATTTTTTATTATAAGGTCTCTATTAGTTCAACCTAATTTTACTAATTTAATTTAACCATTTTAACATACTTTAACTGATGATGGCTATAATAAAGTCGAAACATAAATTTTATAAAATAAGTTATAAAATAACAAAAATTGAAAAAATTGTCTTATTTATTAGAATACTTATATATTTTGTGCTGAAGAGAAACTTTGAAGATTAATAATATACTTTTTTTAATGTACAAAAGTTTCTTCTCACTTGGTTACTTTGTCACGAAAAATAAATAAATTTTCAATTCGCAACTAAGTGAAACATAATTTCTTTTAGTTAAACTTTATAACATTTTTTATGTATTTTTCAATTGGATACACTTTCAAAATATATGTACATTTCAAAAATGTAACCAATTGAGAATGCGAATTTCAGGCGAATTTCATTGCTCATGGTTGCGCACAAAAGCAACTGATTATATGCACTTCAATATAAGAATATATGAAGGACAACTGACCGAGCAATCTGTAACATTAGAACAATATGTCACAAAGAGTCCATGTTATTATTTCATGTGTCAATATGTGTCTACTGAATAGCCAGAATCATTAAGTGTCTGGGAGTCCATTGAAAATGAAAAAGAAGTCATGAAATTGGAGAATTTATCCTAATCAGAAGCCTAAAAGTTGGTGGTACATTACAGCTATCAGAACAAAAGGGCAACGTGCTTATTCTGGATAATGAGATGATCCTGAAAGATCCCACATTCCCAGAGGATATATTTCAATACAAGTCTGCTGCAGCCAATTATTTACAGAAATTAAGGAATGATCCAGCTACGGCTATTTTGGAAGCGTACATTACTGTTGCCCTGATGACTCAGAAAATGGGTATGATAAATGCCTGGGAGCAAATGTGCTTTATACAGATTGAAATTTCCCGTATTTATCGGTGAATGATTACTCAGTTTCCTACAACATCAGCAGAATGGATTCACCAATCCTTGGGTGTGACTGTTAAGCCAGCCAGAGATGCTCCGTTATTGTCAAAGTGCGTAAATTATACTAGATATGCCATCAATTATGCCCAAAAGATAGGCAATTTCTGTTTTGAATACTTCCCTAAAACTTTACCAAATTCAAACATCACTTATTTTTTGGAAGTTAGTAATAGGAAGTTAATAAGGACCAGTTCTCTAATCCCTTGTAACCTCAGACCTAAACACACTTACCCACAAGATCCAAAATTAAATACCATGTACGAAGCCTTTGGGCAAGTTAAAATTGTTGGGACTCAGCTAGATAACGTTCTACCCTCAAAGACTAAACCAATTCCCCGCATTCCAGGCTATAGTAAGGACATTTTAGTTGATAAATCACAAAATTTTTCACCGTATACAGTCCTACAACTGATATCAGGTTGGCATGAAATGTTACAAACACTCAAAACCATTAGTGATACAAATGGAGGAAATGTATTGATATGTATTGGTAACGCTCTTGGAAGCGCTCTACAAGCAACAGCAAGTGGAGGGAGTCAAATAATAAAAGCTATTGGAGGAGCCATTAAGAACTCATTAAGCAATATTTTCAATTTTGACAAAAAATTAGTTCAATCAATTGGTGTTGCTTCATCTTCAGTATTTAAGGGTGCACGAGGAGCTGTAAAAGATTTTGGAGAAAGCGCAGGCTCCTTTTTCCATAAATTTCTGGGTGGTATTAGTGGATCCATTTTATGGGCAGCAGTCTTCTCATAGTAATATATTTAATCTTAAATAAACCCAATTTAAATTATGCCTTGCCTTGTCTAAAACGATTTCAAAAACACTTGGAAAATGAGGTTATGGTACAGCCATGACAAGATCATTTCATGTCAATTTCCCCTAAAGAAAAAAGACATTCTGTGTGTGTTTGGAAATGTCCAGCTTGTAAGGTTGTCTAAAAAGACTAGAAGATTACTTGTTAATGGTAGTGGCAGAAATTAGGGCTTCAATAATTTCCGGATGGAGATTTGGATCGCCCATGAGTTTTGTACAAAGTTAATTGTGTTTTACAAAATTATGTGTAGTTTTATATTATTAGAGATATTATTATTTTACCAAGATTTTATTGTTTCTGCTGTTCATTCAAGATATTGCTGTTTGCAGATATTTATCGATTTTGCTGATTATTTGAAATATTATTGTTTTACAGAAATTTTACTGATTCTGCTGTTTATTCAAGATATTGTTGTTTGCAGAGGTTCTGCTGTTTATTCGAGATTTTGTTGTTTTACGGAGATTTTACAAGTTCTGATGTTTTGATGATGCTTTTAAGTTAGAGGACCAACTTTTCCTGTTTTGGTAAGTGATGTTATGAAGGTCTCAAACAAAAACTACTCAAGTGGAACACTTAAGCTTAACCAAGCGTGTAGCGTTTAGTATAAACATTGCTTATCAACCAACCTGTTTATTAACCGCTTAAGATATAAAAAACGGGAGGAAGACGAGACAAATAGACATAGTTGAAGTAGAGAGAAAATTGTGGTCAAAGTCAGGATCAAATTCAAGGACAAGGTTGAAGTCAAAATCAAGATCGAGGTTAAGGTTGATGGTCAGTCAGAAGAGTTAGTGAACAATAAGAAGCAATAACAGACAAATTAATTACGAGACAAACTGTTTAAAGAGTATTATATGTTAATCATTTATGTTTAGGATTAATACAAAATTTTATATTTATTGAAAAATACCATGTAACATTTAGTTGTGAATTGAAACTTTATTTGTTTTTGTGACAAAGTTACTAATTTAAACAAAATATTTGTCCATTAAAAATAAAACAAAACACTATAAATAGCGATATAAAAATGATAACCAATATGAGATGTAACTTAACCTAAAAATGTTAAAAATTGGGCTTTGAAAATCATAAATTCAACAGTTGTATGTCGTAACTAATAAGCTTCATTGTTACAACTTTTTTATTCATTATTATAACCTATTTTATTTAATCTAACAATAAAAGCCTGTTTTAAAAAATGGAAAAAGCTGCCCTCAGATATTTATTTACAAGTTTGAATGATTGAAAAACATGAAAAACTATTTAATAAACTATTTTCAACTGCAAAAGTTTTTAAATTTTAAACTAAACCACTTTTAATACTAAAATTAGCTTTAAAATTAAAATTACTTTTAATTACTAAAAGTGAAAAACAATTATATAATAAAATTGTTATAAGGCTAAAACACTATGTGAAAAATAAATGACATCTTACGTCAAAGAAATATCGGCTTCATTTCTTAATGGAAGCTCCAAAACAATATACTCAGTGATTAGATTTAATAATTCCTTTCTGTCAACCTGATGTAATTTTTTTTCCATTTTTTCAACTACTCCCCTCTTAAGATCATCACTCATAAAAAATTCTTTTAAATGAAATGGAACCTGAGAAATAAAAGTGTAAAAATCTAACATTAATGAAGTGCAATAACTTAATATTATTAAACAATAAAAAAATAACTAATAAACAAACAGATAAAAAAAATAAAACAACAAACAAAATACCTGTTTACTTGCATATATCCTACATGCCTGTTCAACAGTCAACATGAGCCATACAGAGTACAAGTGAGTCAATCGTATAAAGTCACACATCTTAAAAATGTTTATAACAGTTTTATGTTGTTTAATTTTATAACATAAAATCTTTTAATATATGTTATAAATGTATGCATATATATTAACTTTTTTTACTGCAAGTAAAAAAAGTTAAAATTAACAGAAAAATATAACATAAAAAAATACACCTGAACAAAGCATGTATTAAAAAAAAACGCTTACTTTTCCACTAACTATGTATTTCTTTTCATTCATTCGAAGAATATTGGTTAGATAATCTCTTAAATACATGTTACAATCACCACCTGTAGACGTTATTATACCAATAACTGTTTCAACAGTTCGCAAAGCAATAGATACATCTGCTATATCAATCATTTCATCTAACATTTTTCTTTGTTCCGTATAAGGAATAGCATTCTATGAAATTTAAAAAAAAAAACAACCTAAGTGAGTTGCTTATTATTCGAGATAATCTTATTACCATTTTGAAGCATGTGTAAACCAATATAATAAAACCAAAAAATTAAAAATATAATGATACCTAATGGTTTATATCATAGAATTAAATCTCATTTAATTAAAAATGCATACCTGTTGAATAGACTTCCTTAATAATGAAAAGTTTAAACTTTTGATATCACCTCTGTACAAGAATGGTATTAACTCCTTGTCTATCAATGCTTTACCAAAAATGATATTTTCATAAAGGCGTCTTTGAATTGTTTCTAAGTTATGCTCAATATATGGAGCTTTTCCAATACCAAGAGAGTACTCACTATTCAAAAGCACTAACGGAAGGAGGTCACGTTTCTGCTCATAAGTTATAATATCTGTTTCTTTTAACTGAAATATAGGAACATGTTGGAAAAGATATGCACGATTAATCAACTGACACTCTTTCAAAAATTCGTTTTGCTGGAAAACAAGAAAATCAATAAGGATTGAAGCACACAACCCATGATCAGAACTTGCAGCAATGAAGTATGCTAAGCTACAATTTTCGTCAAGTTTAATCGAAGAAAAATTTGGCGCCAATCTTTTTTCTCTCTCTAATAAAAAAAATAAAAAAATTGCCAAACAATAAGTTTGATGATTAACACAAAAAAATGTATATAAATTTATAAACTTATTTAATCACGTTGAAAAAGCCTATGATTTTATCTTGTATGCTTTATAGAAAAACTTTTGTTTACTTAATTAATCTAAATAAAGAGATATTTTGCTTTAAAAAGTAACAAACAAACAATCAAAAAAAGTAAATGCTAAAGTGAAATTTAATACCAATTTTGAAACAATTGAAGTATTCATAAAATAAGTATCAATTCGGAGTAATATTATGTTTAAATGTTAATAAAAGCATATGCATAACATAAGCATACATATAATATATATTTTGTAAGAAAAGAAAATTTATGCATAATATAAGCATACATATAATATATATTTTGTAAGAAAAGAAAATTTATACTAAAACCATAAAATTTTAAAAAGAGTTTTTTATACAAAGTATAAGAAAAAGAAAAAATACAAAAAAGAACTTATTATGGGTATACAAGAGAAACCAACTAAATTGACTTCAAATTTAAAAATAAAATTGATTTTCTTGTCCTTCTGAGAATTGACATTTTGTCTGTAAAATTTGAGCAAATTGTGCTTAATGAATGGGATGATGAATGATGTAGGAATGATTTTCATACAAAAAAAAAATGTGGGAAGCTTCTCATACCATGACAAGAGCTTTTGAGGAATTTTGTCTGCAAAGTTGAGCTTATTGTTCTTCTTCTGGATAACATGACTCCATGACAACATGACTTTTACTCAATTACATTTATTGTAGGAAAGGTGATTGCAGTATGCAATTTTTTCGATTACATGCTCTCGGTTTTCTTGCATGCATTTTTTCTAATACAGTGAATACATTTTGGTGATTGTAAGGTTGGGTTTTAAGTAATGGCATTTCATCATTTTTCTTGTATAAAGACTTTCAATAACAGGAAAACTATTTATATCTTTTATTACCTTATCTCTTAGTAAGTAAGATGTTTTATTTCCTGAAGTGTTATTTCCTCTGTTATCCTGTTATTCATAATGCCCACCATTACCTCATTTCTTAAATGCATTAATTATTAGATGATTAGAAATGCACTTTAAAAAATAAATTGAACCACAACTATTGTACCACAACTATCAAAAAAGATGTCTACATATTTCGTGAACTGGGTTCAACTAACACTGGCTTCATTAATTATGGTCTCCTTCTAATTCTAATTATAGATAATCAATAACTGAAATGGATTTCGATGGATATTAGAAGTGTTTTAAACATTTACAATGTAGATAATATTGCAATCACAATATAATACTGGAATTATTTGATTTTTACTTTTTTAATGTCCAGATCTCCTTTAAAAATAAACTTCTGTAGTGAATTTTAAAAAGTCCTTCTATTAGGTTTAGTTGTCAAAACATCAGTTCAATGTTAATGCAATCAAACTATGTTGTCTCCAAAGATACTAAGAAAGCCACAAATTTTATTGTGCAATAAATGTTTTAACGGAGATTTGTATTAAGTACAGTATAATGGGTTCCTCCTGGAGATAATTGTTGAATTTGTAACTTTAAAATAGTAGTTAAAGCAGAATAACTCATCAGCTTATAAGAATTAGTAGCATATAGTAAAAAACATGAAATAATGTGTGGTGCATATAACTTAATACTATCAAAAATGGACTTGGTTTCTCTTTTTTTCTCACATATTGTTGCATAAAAATAAAAATTACACATTATAAGATTACTTTAATTTAAATATGTATATATATATATATATATATATATATATATATATATATATATATATATATATATATATATATATATACATATATATATATATATATATATATATATATATATATATATATATATATATATATATATATATATATATATATATATATATATATATATATATATATATATATATATATATATATATATATATATATATATATTTATAAGGTTTAGTAAAAAGATTAACGAGCAGAAAGTGATCTAAGAATGTTTAAAAAGCTGTGTTTATATTACAAAATAATTAAAGATACTTGCCATGATCATAAAGTCTAAAGGATTCAGATATGGAGATATAGATTTTCAATTAAAGAGTCCATTTTTTCGACATGTCTTATCTGGTAGTTAGCACTGGAATTAGCATTAGTGTTACAATTAAAGAATTAAACAAAACTTAGTGTATGCAGTTTCCAAAGGGAAAATCAAAATTCCAAAATGTATAATGTACCCAACTATTACATGACATTGAATATTAAGCTGAGACAAGGTCAAATCCATTATAAAGAAGTTGTTTACTGAGATTGCTTATATTTCAATTGTTTAAGAAAAAAGTTTGGATGTTTTTTAACCAAAATGGAAAAAACCAAAAATAAACTTAATATTGCTGTGGATAATAATTTTGACAAAACAAATGAAAGGCTATCAAGTAATCAATTAGAATTAGATATTATTTATGTTTAGTTTATTTAGTTTTACTATTAGGTTTAAAAGCATTTACTTGTATAGAACAAAATTTGTAATATAATCAACTTTGATGCAAGATTTATTGCTCAAAAAGGTGAAAAGTTAATTGTGAAAACCTTCCACCTTGTAAAACAAGTATATACCAACACATTTTAAGAACCAACTATCAATGTGAAATATAAAAATAAACTCCATCTCCAGAAGGACTGATAAAAAAAAGTTGAAGATAAAAATGCTATTCTCTTTGTAGTTTTTATTTAAATATTCCTGTATGTAATTATACAGTTATAATTATATTAAAATATTCACTAATCCTTTTGTTTTAAATAACAGTAAATCAAGAAAAAATTATACACAAAATTTATGAAAAAAAAATTATAGTATGATTTAATAATTAAGACTCGTATCTCTCAATAAACTTTGATACTCTTTACATTTTTTTAAAGTTTAAAAAGACATTGTAATAAGTTTATATTATTCCAGGTCATGTCAGGTTTAGGATCATCACAATCACTCTGCTACTGGTATCATGTAACCCAGTACTGCCTGCCTCATGACCTGCTGCCTTGTAGGGTTTCTTTTTTTTAGATAAAGGCTAGAAAGTTAAAAATCTCCTGTCTTGGGGCTCTTAATTAAGTAAAGACTAGAATTGTCTTAATAAAAGCACTTGTCTTGGGCAAACGTTGACTGCATCTAGCTAAAATTTCCCTGCCTTGGGGCTCTTGGTTGGGTAAAGGCTAGAGATAGTGTCTTGATAAAAAATACTTATATTGTGCAGATGCTAACTGCATCCAGCTACTTTGTTGTAGAAGGCCTACTAGGCATAAACTTTAGAGGTAAGCAGAATAATTATGTAGAGCAACCTCAAACTCTTTTTTTATCTATTAGGCTGGTTTAAATGTAAAGCTGTGTTACATTGTTTCCTGCCTAGGATAATGAATACTGGATCTTCTTGACTCTACTCTGATCATATTGACCTTTAGCCTTTCCCTTTACCTTTTTTTTAATATTGTTGTCATTGAAACTTTATTCCTCTGAGTTACACTGAATGGCTTGACTCTAACACCACTGACCCTGCTGACACTAAAGCCCATAACTTCCATATTTCTCAATCTCTTACTCAAATAGTTAACTTTGTGACTTGTTCACCAGACAACCCTAATCAGCTTCATTTCTTGATTTGTGTTTTGTCTCTGACCTTAGCTTGTGTTCAGTTTCTCTTTTTTTTCCTTTATATGGCTCCAACCACACAATTATCTCTATAAATTTTTTATCTCCTACTTTCTACTACACTAAAACTGACTGGGATTCTTTTTGTAAAATTCTTTGAGCTGGTCCTTTAACTGATGTTTTTTCTCTCTCTGCTGATAAATGTGCCTTCTGCGTAACCTTTTTGCCAGTTTGAAGTCAAGCCTTATTCTACTTCCTGGTTTCACCTGCTTGTGTAGCTGCTATATCTAATCATAATCATTTTTTTCATCTTTTTCAAAAAAAACAACTCTCTACAGTACAAATGCCTATTTATTATTAAAAGAAATCAATGTAAAAAGTTGGTGCTTGATGCTAAGCTTGATTATTCCCTTTTTAATTTTATCTTAGAAGTTAGGCTGTAAAAACTTTTGGAAAGTTTTTAAAAAAGTCATTAACAGAGGTAAGTTTAACATCCATCTCTTATTCATCGGACTGATCTTATTACCTCTCCAAACAATGAGGCTAAACTATATGCAAAGAACTGTTCTTCTAATTTGACTCTTGAATCTTATGGCAATACTCTTCCTTTCATTCCAATTAAACAGGTTAACCAATTGTTAGACATTTAAATCACTCCAGCTTCTGTTGTTGAAGCCATATTTCAATTAATCTCTTCCACAGCTTGCGGTCTAGATAACATTCCTGTCATAGTCTTACAAAAAAGTTCTCTAGAACTCGCTTCAGTTCTCACTAAACTATTTAAAAAGTGCTTGACTGAATCTTGTTTTCCTGCTTGCTGGAAAATAGCATTTGTGATTTCAATTTTTAAAAACCATGGAGAACATTCTAACCCCTCTAAATATTATACGATCGGTCTTCTATCTGTTGTTAGTAAGGTTTTGGATCAACAAATTTCTAACATCTCATCTTGAGTAAAATAGCTTACTTTCATACAATCATACAGTTTTTGATCCTCTTGCTCTATGGCTGACTTACTAAATGCTGTGACTAAAAGAATCTATCATGAATTAGATAGAGGCAGTGCGACTAGGGCTGTTGCTCTTGACAGATCTAAAGCTTTTGATAAATTTAGCATGCTTGTCTTCTCCAAAAGCTTGCTTCATATGGTGTATCTAGGGAAGTTTTTGAGATTATCAAGTTGTTTCTCTCTAACTGCTTTATCAAAGTCATTTTTAAAGCCCAACGCACTTCTTTGTTTTCAGTAGTTTCTAAGATAAGATTGTTTTGATGTGAAGGTGAAGAAATTAAATTAAAAAAAAAAAAATTAAAAATAAAAAATTTTTTATTTAATGAAAATGCGTAATATGTTAAACTAACCTGTGAAAAGAGCACGTGCCTGATTCCATATTTTAATAAAACCTTTAATAAGTTTCTCTATTTTTTTTTTCAATTCTAAATAAAGAAAAAAAAATTGAACTTTAAATGAACATTTTTTTAGTTAAATGATATTTTATATTCAATTTTTTAAATAACTTTTTCTCTTTTTTTTCAAAGACCTTTTAATACTCTTATAAAGTATCTTATACTTATATCTATTAGTATATTATACTTGTACCTTATATCTTATACTTATATCTATTAGTATATTATACTTTTATCTTATATCTTATACTTGTATCTATTAGTATATTATACTTGTATTTTATATGTTATACTTATATCTGTAGTATATTATACTTATCTTATCTTATATATCTTATCTTATATCTTATATATCTTATCTTATATCTTATATATCTTATCATATATATCTTATACTTATATCTATTAGTATATTATACTTATATCTTATATTTTATATCTTATATCTTACACTTATATCTATTAGTATATTATAAGCTTAGTACTACTTATGTGCGCTTATAGTTCTATTAATACTAAAAAAAACAACTATTTAATACTAAATTTTAATGATACCTGGTTTACTTGCACTAATATCTAATAAAAACTCATCAACAGTTTTATCAACAGCAGTTGCTTTGTCAAGTTTATAATTAAATTCATGTTGCAAAGTTTTTTGAAGCTCTAATATAAGTGGCAGTTCTTTTATCATGCTAAGTACTGATTC